CTTGAATGGCACTGTTGGTCATGTGGGACCCAGCTGCCACAGATTGGCCTGGGTTGGCGGGATGCTGTCTTTCCGTCTTTCTGTCTTTCTTGCTCAGGTAAGAAACAAACAAACTTCAAAAACAAATTGGGAGCTGGAATGACCGTGGTGGTCTCACTCTGGCTACCCACTTAGAACCAGTGCAGAAGCTTAACCAGAGCTAAGCCCTACTCGTGAGATTCCAGGGGTCTCAGGTGGCACTTGGCCATCAGACGGTTAAAAGTCGTGGGGAGGTTCTGTTCAGGCATCGCTGGGGCGCATAGGCACAGACAGGAAGTGACTTGCCTGGAGACCCACAATGGACGAGGTTGGGGCAGACCCCTGCCCCTTCCCGGGGCAGTACACAGCTCCTCTCTTACTGAGAGAGACCCTGGGACCTAGAGAATGGGACTGGGCATGGGGAGTCCTGGTCCAGCTCTACATCTGTCTTGTGACTCTTGGACAGTCACTCTTTCTGAGCCTCAGTTTTCTCTTTTTTCATGGTGTTGCTCCTATTGGCTCTGCCTACTTTACAGGATTATGAAGATAAAAGAAGACAGACGTAAACATACTCGGAGAGATATCAATCCTGTCGCTAGTGGTTAAGAGAGCTGGATCCCCCATAGGCAACCACGGTTCAAATCCCCAGCTCCAGCAGCTTGAAAAACATGCAGGGCACGGTGCATATGTGCCTGTAATCCTGACAGGATAGAAAAACGGAGGCAAAGGGGTTGCAGTGTGACTATGCCCCACTGGGGGATGTTTTCTCCCCCTCTCTCTGTCTCTCTCTGGCACATGCCCTCTGACAATTTAACAACAACAAAAAGACAAAGAAACAAAACACTTAGGACTTACTTTAAAGCTCCATTCGATACAAACCATGGCCTGTTTGTACATTCCAGAAGTTTTTCTCACCCGTCGGCTCCACGGTCATAGCTGGTGGTACTAACACTTAAAATAGACGTGCTCTTCCTTTAGCCTGGACTTTGGATCTCAGCCTGCGACCCCTCTTGCCCGTGGCCTGACCCACCCCTGCTCCAGAGCACTGGGGATGGGCTCCTTCAAGTCCCTGCTTTTCAGGTGGAATGTAATTGGTAGCAAAGCCAGAGAGGAGCTGAGTTTCCTATTCCCTTACCGGACCACTTTTCACAACTGCTAATGAGTCCACTTGGGGTCTGTAAATAGTCTCGCTGCATTGAAAGGCACTATTCACACTTGCCAATGGACACCTCTTTTTCAGCCTAGAGATGGCGCCAGCCCACACCTTACCTCAGGGCCCCTGAAGTGTGTCCCTGGGCTTTGCTCCCACAATGGCCACTCCTGTGCTGCCCACAGCACTTCCTCGCCACCCCTCCCACAAGACCCCCAGTGGTGGGACGAACACTCCTCACATCCTCTGGTCTTTGCTCTCCCTATGGAGGTCTTTCTCTTTACCTTTTAGGGGCTTCTCACATGGCATCTCTTTTCCTCATTTTCTCCACAATTCCTTCTCCATTTCACCCTCCTGAAGTCAGGAATCTCTTCTACCAACTTTGATGTGTTGAGTGCTTCCTGGCCCGGGCACCCCACAGGCACCATCTCCCTTCACCTCTGAACAGTTGCAGGAGACAAGTGCTGAACTCCCAGTGGCCCTAGGTGTGTTGGTGAGGCCAGTCCTGGGCTTGCCGGGGCACTCCAGGGCCTTCTCCTCAGCCCCCAATCTGGCTGGCTGTTTCCACTCTCCTGGGAGTCACAGTCTTGGGACACAAAACCGCTCAGGCATCCCTGACCCTGTCCACTGCAGTGTGGCCACAGAGAGGTAAAGAGCTCAGCTAGAACCCACTTTGTATGGAGTCCCAAATATTGTGCTCACGGCCTGGTTGGAGGTGAAGGCAGCGGGGCGGGGCTGAGTGTGGGAGCGAGCAGACACCAAAGCCTTCAGCAGATGCCCAGGGCCAGGGCGCCAGGTGCAGGCACCACAGGCCCCTTCCCTGCCCCAGTTCTAGTGCAGGTTATGGGGGCACATGGGTCTTGTTGCAGCCATTGCCCCTTTCGTTGTCGTTGTCTTCTCCTTCCTCTTCTTCTTCTTCCTCTTCCCCTCCTCCTCTCCTTCTCCTTCTTCTTTTTATAAGAAAGATTCTTACTACAGAGTGCATGCGCTCACCAGAGAGACAGAAAGCAAGAAATCACCCCCCAGGGGGCATGGCCACATCTCAATCCTTTCTCCTCCATTCTCCTCTCAGGATTTTGGACCCCGACCTAGTGTGAGTTTCAAGCCCCCCATTCCAGGACTTAAACTGCAGTCAGTCATGTGGGAGTCCAGTGACATAACCATTACGCCATATGCTGTTCCTGCCCCGTCTTCTTTACCAGCTTATCTTCACTTCTGTCCCAAGGAATGATGGGAGCAGATGAAAAGACCCTGACTTGATGGAGATTGGTTTTCACTTTGCCTCAATTCTTCTTCTTCTTCTTCTCCTCCTCCTTCTTCTTCTTCTTCTTCTTCTTCTTCTTCTTCTTCTTCTTCTTCTTCTTCTTCTTCTTCTTCTTCTTCTTCTTTTTTTTTGGAGAGGTTTTTGCTAAAAGGCACTTGTGCTCGCCAGAAAGAGACAAAGAGACATTTCCTTCCTTCTCCTCTCGGGATCTTGGGCACGCACACACACGCGCCCAGAGTGAGTTTAAGTCACCCGGTCCAGGACTCAAACCATGATCAACTACATGGGAGTCCAGCAACGTAGCCATTACGCCATCTGCTGGTCCTGACTTTGCCCTAATTCTTGTAACCTAGGCTTTAGCTACTTGGCCACACTCTGTTTCCCATCCATGGTGGGGTGCACCTGGGCAGAGGACCCTTCTACCTAAGGAGTCTCTGCCGAATAAGGGCTGCATCTGAGCTAGCTTTCTTGGGCCCCAGCAAATGAGGAAAGTGGTGTCTGCAGCCTCCCCTCTGCCTAGGAGTCTAGGAGGGCTCAGCTCAAGCCCTGAGCACTGGGTGGGTGCAGGTTCCCAGAAGCCCCTCCTGCAGCCATCGTCCTGCCTGCTCCAGGCCCAGGGGCTACAGAACTGGCTGCTTGGATGTGTATATGAGGGCCAGGTGTGTGCAGAGTGAAGGGGCAGGGAGAGAGGCAAGTTCCAGAGATAGAGGAGAGACAGAGGAAACAAAAAGATGGGTACGAAAGCAAGAGCAACAGAGAGGAGCCAGCACAGAGCCAGCGCGAGGGGACCCTGACAGGGAGCAGTCTGCTGTTCTCGTGCCTCCCCACTTCTCCCCATCTTTGGCCACTCTCCCTTGTGCCCTCCCTTTCTCACTGTGCCATAGCAGGAAGGCCAAGCCTGAGGGAGGGCCTTAGCACCCGCCCAAGTGTGAAAACTGGAGGCTGCTCACAGAAGTGGGTTTTGTTACTTCGTTCCAGGATAAAAACCATCTGGTACTGGGTAAACTGCCTCAGAGTGTCTTTGTTTTCTCGTTGTTGCTACACACGTGTATGCATATGTGCACATGCGCACAAATGGAGACGTGTATACACATGCACACCTGCACACCCATGGGCTGCATAATACATACATGCCCATGAGTGTGCCTGCGTGCACCTGGGTCCACGTGAATGCACACACATGCACAGAAGCATACACACTGGTCCACACCTGTACATGATCCATCAACCTCAGTGGAGACACCGCCTGTGTGGCTCTGGCCTTCAAATCTCCAGAGTTTGAGGATCTTGAGAAAGCCCTCTAGGGTTACCTGGTCCAGCCCTATTCACACGTAGGAGAGGGCAACCCTTTGCCTGTTTTGCTGCTTACCAACTTCTGGAAGGTCTTCAGGAACCTGTCCTTAGAGTTTCGAAGCCCTCAGGGGCATCTCCTTTGTGCCCATTTCGGCTGTATGTGGATGCTTTCTGGCCCCATGCCATCTTCCCCCAAACCACACAGCGAAGCATCTAGCCCCTACCCACTGCTGGCCCACAGCATGGCTTCTGGCCCCTCCCTCTGCACATCTCTGCCCTTGGGTGGGTAGACTCAGGACAAGGGGAAGTCAAAGGAGGTTTGTCATGCTGTCTGCCCCCAGCTCCCATCGCCCCTCCTGAGCCCATTACAGAGGAGGCTGGCAGCTGGCTTCTTGGCAGCGAGAAGCCCTCTCCCTGCATGTCTGGGAGGCTTCCCCCAGGAGCACTCTGGGAGCTGTTTGCTGGATTTTGGGAACTGTCTCTGCTCTGCAGGGGACAGGGGGAAGAAGTCTTGCAGCTGGAGCAGGGAGAGGTGGTCTCCTGTGTGCTTTAGGCCTTGAAGCAGTGTGGTATATGAGGAGAGCGTCTGTGCTGACCACTGGGAGACTAGGTTCTGCAGCAGAAGGACCCGGGCAGCCATTTCCTATCTCTGGGCTTTCTGACTTTTCCCGCACATGGAGAGGCAAGACTGGGTGACTCTGCAGGGCCTTTGCAGGATCCTCAGACTCAGAATTTGAAGTGGGACTGTGGTGACTGGGGAAGCCATTGTGATTGGCATGGCCTCCCTCCACTCATTGTGCCACCTGAGCTCTGCAGAAAGTCAGATCTTTAGCAAGCGAGCCCTCCCTGTATGACATGGAGGGTGGAGGTCAGGAGAGGGGACTGCCGAGGAACGGATCCTGGCAGAAGAGAGAGTGCTGTTTCTGGGACGCCCAGGGCACAGGTATGAGGATCCCTGTTCCTGGGTAGACATGTGGTGTGGAGGTGGGGTGGGGCTGGTCTGGGCGTGGAGGTAGGGGTACATCAGGCCCTAATCCTGCTGCTCCAGAGGCTGGCCGGGAGCTGGCATAGGAGTACTGGCCTCCGGTTCCAGTCTCTATGGTCAGAAGTCTGTAGCTATCAAAGGCCGCTGCCCAACACCCATGACTGCATGGTGAGGCTGGGGGAGGCCTGGGATCACATGGTCTGAGGGTGGGCCTCATACTGAAATATCCATCTCTCTCCCCTTCTTCCCTGTTCCATTTCCCATGGCCGTCTGCCGTTCCTGATCCCCAGGAGGTGGAGGTAAGTACTACCCAAAGGATGGTCCTTCTGCAGAGTGCACTCCCACACACCCCGGCCCTCTGCATCCCCACCCCAGCTTCTTCCTTGCCAGCATCCAGCATGGCATCGGGGAGTGAAGAACTCAGGGGAGAGACTGAGAAGGATTCTGGGTGGAGATTCAGGGCAATAGCAGTATTGGAAGGACCTGGCAGGGCCTGGGTGGACAGGAGACATCTGGGTAGTCACCAGGATGGTGACAATTTGCATGGGAAGTAGTGGCCCAGGTCTCACCTCTCCGTGGCCTGAAGTTGAACCTCAGCTCTTAGATGTGAAGCTGAGCCCGTCCCTTCTTCCCTGTCCTTCTCTGTCCTTCTCTAGGATGACTATATTAAGAGCTGGGAGGACAATCAGCAAGGAGATGAAGGTAATGCCCCTCCCAGAGAAGGTCACTGATACCCAGGAAGACTTGAGTCCAGAGAGCAAGTCCTGACCTTGGCTGTGGGGGATCCTTGCTTAGGACCTCAGAAGCTCTGATTATCAAGAGCTGCTGGAGGGAGGGGCCTTCCAGTTCAGAAGTGGGACTAGGGGTTCCTAGGTTCTCCCAGCTGTCCTGTGTCCTGACCCTGTGTCTCCGCAGCACTGGACACCACCAAGGACCCCTGCCAGAAGGTGAAATGCAGCCGCCACAAGGTGTGCATCGCCCAGGGCTACCAGCGGGCCATGTGTATCAGCCGCAAGAAGCTGGAGCACAGGTGAGGGGATTGGGGAGGTGAAAACCCTAGAAGGGATTTGTTCAAAACACAAGGGCTCAGCTGACCCTCTCCTATGTATTAGCTGTCTATGGCCATGAATAAATTACCCCAAAACAGTGACTCAAAACAACAATAATGCATTGGATCAGAAAAGGCACGATGCATTTTTGCATAGAAACGTATGTCATGATCTTCCCGACGACCCAGCATTAGCTCACACCGTTTCTGAGGGTCAGGAATCCAGAAGAGGTTCTGTTGGATGGTTCTGGCTCAGGGTCTGTCGTTAGATTACAATCAAAACACTGGTCAGGGCTGGAGGATCCACTTCCAAGCCCACTGTCATGGCTGTGGGCAGGAGGCCTCAGTTCCTAGTAATGGGGACTTGTTCAGAGGGAAGCTGAAGTGTCCTCATTACACGGTAGCTGGCTTTCCCCGAAGCCAGTCATCCAGGAGAGAGCAAGAAGCCACGCGGTGTAAGAATGACGGCACAGTGAGCACCAGGGAAAGTCACATCTCCTGTCCGGGCTTTGGTATTCATCTCTCCAAGACAGATAGGTTGGACCAGATCATTGGCAGTTCCTTCCAACTCTGACATGCAATGACTTCATAAAATATTTAAGGTTGTCTCTTGAGGCTTGTAGAAGAGGAAGGAGTGAGGGGGCATTTGAGGAAGTCTTAGCTACCCCTGCCTGGCTCTAGACACCTCGGCAAGATCCTGTCTCCTTCTCTCACCTGCAACCTAGAATGAGAGACCAGAGACTTGGGGCTGCAGTCTTAGAGGCCTGCAGTGGCTGGCAGGTAACAAGATGCATGAAGAGAACTTGGCAATGGGCTGTTCTGGCGAGCGCAGTCCTGGTGGGAAGGGAACGGCTGCTTCTTCACAGTGGCCGTGTGGGAATACAGGTCCAGGACTGCCCCATCTTCCACTTTTCTAAGAAAGGCCAAGAGTCCAGGTTTTTATGGGAATTCTCACCTTTTGTAAGTGTTGGTGAATAACTCAAAGAAAGAAGAAAGAAAAGGAGGAAGAGCTCCTGGTAGCCAAACAAAATGAGGCTGCGGGCCAGATGTGACCTGTGGCCCCTCAGTTTGCAGCCTGATTTGGTCTGATGCTGTAAGTGTAGCACAACTCCCTGTTACCTCTTGCAGTCAGACCTGGAGTTGCTGTCTGAAGGCCACTGGACTCAGTTACCCCTAGGAAAGGGGAGGTGGGAGGCTGCGGCCGCCTGGTTGGTCTACCTAGGCTTATGTGCTGGAGGAGGGTCTTACTGGGTTATGGCAGAGGGTGGGCAGGGGCAGGGAGAGGCTGAGGTTGCTGAGCCAGCATCTTATTGGAATGATCTCTTCTACCTTCTTGTCCCTTGTGCCTCTCTCCAATTCTCGCCTCTCTCTCCTGGTGCCCCCCGCACCCCTCCGCTGTAGGATCAAGCAGCCTACCCTGAAACTCCATGGAAACAAAGACTCTGTCTGTAAGCCCTGTCACATGGCCCAGCTTGCCTCCGTCTGCGGCTCTGATGGCCACACGTACAGCTCTGTGGTGAGAAACCTGGCCCAGGTGGGGTGGGGAAGGACGCACCTGAGGCCATGGGGAGCAAAGAGGAGGGCTCAGCTGGGGCCTCCCAAGGGATTCCCATGACTGCTGAGGCCAGTGCCTCTGGTGCAGCCAGCCATGGTCAGGACACCTGTGCCCTAGCTGGGCCACCTGAGTCAGAACAAGACTGTCCCTGACCTTGGGCACTGGTAGAGATGGGGCCTGGAAGGGGCAGGTAACCACGAGCCAGAGCGAGTGCAGGATGGCCTCACAAAAGTTCGAGGGCGACTGAAAGAAGGAGCTCTGTTGAGGGTGCAGGGGTAAAGAAAGGATGGAAATTTCCATAGGCAGATTTCCACATGGAGGAGACGGTGTTGCCAGCAAGCTCATAATGTTCTGGGGCAGGAAGAAATAATCCTCTATGAGAAGACGGTGTGGGAAGGAACCGTGATGGGGGAACGAATTCCCACCTTGTGGGATTTTTGTGAGGATTAAATGAGACAAATTTGTGCAAGCATTTTATAAACTTTAAAGTACCATAGAAATGCAGGTGCATGTTATAAATTCTCCTACTGGCTACGAGGAGTCGAGGATTGCTTGGATCCTGAAGTTCACTGACTGTGGGATGGGGTGGGTTCTAGAAGCCTAGGACTGAGGAGGATCTGTCAGGGAAGTCGAGGATCTGTCGGAAAAGTCACGATATTTTTCTTTTCTGCTTTTCTATGTAAAATTGCGTCATGACTTTCCCGACAACCTGTTGGGCTGAGATGCAGATTTAAGCATCACCCACTGTAGTGATCCTTGAAGTTGCTGGAGGGATGAGGTCACTCAAAAGGATGAGAGAGACTGAGCACGAGGTGGGAGGGAGACAGGAGAGATAGGCCAAGCTGACAGAGAAGCAGGAGAGCCCAGGCCCCAGTCTGAGCACAGCGAGGTTTGGGCAGGAAGCTGTGGTCTGAGGGTCTCGAGGGTCACACTGTCCTGGAGGGAGGTAGTAGAGGCCATCAGGAGGTCTGGCTTCCATCTAAGCCCCATGGCCTTGGGCAAGTCACTGGGCCTGTCTGTGCCTTGATGTTCTCTGCTGAGCATGAGAAACAATCCTCCCTCTCAGCTCTGTGGGGACCAGGTGAGATAAGGTTATAAAATGCTAGGACGACGCACACTAGCAGTCCTCCTGCCAGGAGGAACAGATACTCCAGGGGTAGCCATTTAGGACCAGGAGTGGGTGAGCTCCTCTCCAGACATGGCTTTAGCAAAGAGGCAGGGCAGAGCGTTTCTTAGGAAAGGCCGGGCGTTGGTAGATGTTCCACAGCTGGTAGCCCTTTGTTACCGAGGGAGCTGAGAGAGGTCCACTGGTGGTGACTTGGAGCCCCATGAGGGGGTGCCAGTCGTCAGTTGCCCAGGGACCAAGGGGCTGTGGTGAGGAGGACGGGCCATGAGGAGGGGTAGGCAAAGACAGCTATAATAAATTAGGGGAGGTGAGGGATGGGCAGGGCAAAAAAAAAGAGGGTGCCTAAGGAAGGAGTGATTCAGAGAGGGCTGGTGCAGCAGAGTGGGGTTCCTGGGAGCCTTCTGTGGCTGAGACTGCTCCTGGGCACTTTCCCTGGGCCGCTGCATGCTTGTTCTGCAGATGGATCAGGAGGGCCTCTCCAGGCTGTCCATGGGCCTATGCCTCCCACCCCCACCAGAGAAAAGAGTTGAGGCTGCCTGGGGAGGTGTGAGGGTGTCCCCAGCCGCAGGGACCCAGCCTAGCCTTTGTTCTTATGCAGTGTAAGCTGGAGCAGCAGGCGTGCCTGAGCAGCAAGCAGCTGACAGTGAGGTGCGAGGGCCCCTGCCCCTGTCCCACGGAGCAGGCCACTGCCTCCAGCAGCGACGGCAAACCAGGTACTCAGAACACGGGCCACAGCCAGGCTGGGTGGGCCTCCCTGCTAGGGCTGCTCTGAGCACCTCCATCAGGCCTCCGGGATGGCAAAAGCTTTGTGGAATAGGAGGGAGAAGGGCAAAAGCAGGGAAATGTCTGAGGGACCGCTGGTTGGGGACCTGGCTAACACGGAGCAGAAGGCATTGGCCTCAGCCCTTGGTTTCTGCGAGGTGGGTGTCTGTGGGGTGGGGTGGAGGAGGCACTCAGCCACAGGGCGCCCACGCCGTGTTTGCAGACTGGGAGGAGCAAGGTGGAGAAGGGAGCTGGAGAGGATGGCAGAAGAAGCCCCGATTTCCTTTCCCTCCTGCATCCCTGACAGCTGCCCAGTCTCCTGGCCTGGAGGGCACAGGCTGACAGGAGGAGACCAGGCTCGCCACTTCACCCCACATTCACCCTCTCCACCCTTCTCCCTGTTCTGCCCACTGCAGAGGCCTGCACAGGCCAGGATCTGGCTGACCTAGGGGATCGGCTGCGGGACTGGTTCCAGCTCCTCCACGAGAATTCCAAGCAGAACGGCTCAGCCAGCGGTGCAGCTAGCCCAGCCACTGGTATGGGAGCCGGTCGCTCTGCCTGGGATGGGGCAGGAGATGGGGAAAGAACTGAGGAGCCAGTTACACACCCAGGCCTACCTGCCCTTGCTCCCTCCTGCCTGACCCTCAGCCCTGCAATCCTGTCTCTAAAAGAGCCTTAATCCTAGAAGAATGTGAGGTCAGCTTTAATCAGACAGGAGAGATTAGGGCCAGCAGGTGGCATGGTGGTTGAGGTGCTGGACTCCCACATGGCCGACCACAGTTCGAGTCCTGGATTTGGTGGCTTGAAAATCATGCCAGGTACATGTGTGTGTGCATGCCCCAAACCCCAGGAGGATAGTGGAGGAGAAGAGATTGTGGCATGGCCATCCTCCCTAGGGGTGATTTCTCACTTTCACTCTCACTCTCTCTGTCTCTCCAGTGAACACACACACCTTAGGGCAAAAACCTCGGGGGGGGAGGGGAAGGATTAGTTACCTGAAAGGAAGAACTTCTTAACATGGGTGAAATGGGTAACCAAGGGAAGGAAAGGAATTATTTTCCCTGAAGAACTTTCAGAACAGGGTTTTGAGGGCTGGCCCCATAGCATAGCAGTTAAACGCCATGTGTAGGAAAACTGGCCAGCCCTAGGCTGGCCCTGTCCTGCACTGGTTAAGCCCTGTGCTTTGGGAGCAGATCCCACATAGCTGACTGCAGTTCGAGTCCCAGCCCTGGCAGCTTGAGAAACGTGCCAGGTGCATGGGCCTATGTGCCCCAAATCCTGACAGGGTGGAGAAATAGAGGAAAAAGGGTTACAATAGAACCACATCCTATTGGAGAGTATTTTTCTCTCTCTTTCTGTCTCTTTCTAGCAAGCACACATACCTTCTGGCAATGAAAAACAAACAGGGTTTTGGATGGCTTCTAGGATCTTAAAGGGTTTAGGTCCAGCCCTATGTAGAGGCAGAGGGAAAAGCCTTTGGCTATTCTTGAATTTTTCAACCCCATGGTCAGATTCCAAGCTGCCCTGACTCTGGACAAAGAGCTGGAGCTGACAGAGAGGTGGAGGAACGGAGAGAGAGATGGGTGGACAGAGAGATGAAGCATGTCTGCATCCTGGTCTTCTTCCCAGGGCTGGACAAGAGCCTGGGGGCCAGCTGCAAGGACTCCATTGGCTGGATGTTCTCTAAGCTGGACACCAGCGCTGACCTCTTCCTGGACCAGACGGAGCTGGCCGCTATCAACCTGGACAAGTATGAGGTCTGCATCCGCCCCTTCTTCAACTCCTGCGACACCTACAAGGACGGCCGAGTCTCCACTGCTGAATGGTGCTTCTGCTTCTGGAGGGAGAGTGAGTGTGGCCTCCCCTCCAGGGCTAGGCCCCGGGTGCGGGTTCTGCCCCAGCTCTAGAGTCTCTTTGGGAGTCAGAGTGGCTCCTTCTGGCCATCTTCCCAGGCCAAGAACTTTCCAGCTCCTCCACCTCCTGCCCTCCCTGAGTCCCATCTCTGAGAGCCCAGGGATGCCAGCCCTTGAACTCCTTTCCTTGGCAGCCTCCCAAGTGGATCCAGAGCATATGGGTCTGAGGTTTGTGCACTCTGGGAGGCCTTCTTTAAGAAAGAGGATGCAGGGGGACCAGCAGTTAGCGTAATGGCTATGTTGCTAGACTCCCATGCAGTTGACCGTGGTTTGAGTCCCAGACCTGGTGGCTTAAACTCATGCCGGGCACGTGTGTGTGTGTGTCCAAGATCCTGAGAGGAGAATGGAGGAGAAGGGATTGCAGCGTGGCCATCCCCACGGGGGGCGATTTCTCACTTTCTGTCTCTCTCTGTCTTTCTGGCGAGTGCATGTGCCCTATAGCAAGAACCTCTCCACAAAAAGAAAGAGGATTCAGGGTCAGCCCACAGTCTGGTGGTTAAGGTAGCTGGATCCCTTATGGCCAACTGCACTGTTTGAGTCCCAGATCCAGTGGCTTGAGGAACATGCCAGGTACCTGTGTGTGTGCCTAAAATTTATTTTTTTTTTTGGAGAGGTTTTCACTATAGGGCGCGTGTGCTTGCCAGACAGAGAGAGACAGAGAGAAAGAGAAAGTAAGAAAGCACTCCCCAAGGAGGGATGGCCACGCTGCAATCCCTTCTCCTCTATTCTCCTCTTGGGATCTTGGGCACGCATGCACACGCACCCGGCGTGAGTGAGTTTAAGCCACTGGGTCCAGGACTCAAATCGCGGTCAACTACGTGGGAGTCCAGCGACATAGCCATTACGCTAACTCTTGGTCCCATGTGTGCCTAAAATTCTGAAATGAGGAAGAAATGGAGAAAGGATTCTGGTGTTACCATCCCCCATGGGGAGTGCTTTCTTACTTTCTCTTTCTCTCTGTCTCTCTCTGGTAAGTACATGTGCCTTATGGCAAAAAATGGAAGAGAGAGATTTAAAAAAAAAAACAGGAAAAAGAAAGAGTATGACAGATAAAAGTATAAAATGTCTAAGGCCCCTTGGAGGGCAAGTGAAGGCCTGACAGCTGAAGACAGTGATACATTAGCTTCTCAGCAGTTCCACTTCTAGGTACATCCCACCTTTTTGTCCCAAATGAGTGATCGTATAGCTTGTCATTAGCCTTGGTGAGGTGATGACATTTGTTAGCTGTGTATGTCAGGAACCAGAGCTGAATATGTGCTTAGAGGTCACTAGGTCAAGTGGCAAATGTCATCTGTGAGGAAATTCAGGTCCTAAGGGGTCAACTGACCTGTCCGGCCAGGAGCTGGCTGAGTCCTGGTGCCCTGCCTCTGTCTGTTTCCCTCGCCGCATGGTGGAAGGAGTACAGCATCTGTGGCTAGGGGTGGAGACTTTGGCTAGGGCTCTACCATATGCTAGTTTGGGGTCCTGGGCAAGTGACCATGTTTGGGTTCAGTTTCTTCATCTGAATCAGGAGGTAACGGTACCTACCTCTCAGGCTGCCACAAGGGTGAATGGAGAAAATCTGGTGAATCCCAGCTCCCTCTGCGAGTGTGGGGCACCTGAAGCGGGCCTCACGGTCCGGCCACCCTGCTGTACTCACATTGCTGCAGACCTCTGGAGCACATTCCAGCCATGCTGTGCCACAGCCTTCTTGGGCAGGAGGCTAGGAACTGCTCTCATTTTACAATCAGGCAGGCCTCCAGCTTGGAGGGGCAGGAACTTCCCAAGGTCACAGACAGGTGAGAGGTTGGCTGCTAGTTATTTCGAGGCCGAGGAGTTTTATCTGACATTCTGTCCAGTCTTATGGTCCCACTGGGGTCTCTCACCCTGGAGTGTCTGTGTGTTTACCTCTCCTGTTTGGAATCCTGTTTATTCACCCCATGAGAACACCCTCAGAGAACCCTATGCTTCGTGGGAACCTTGGCTCATCCTACCACTCCCACCATGTAGAGAATGGGTGTTTTCATCCTGTACTGGTTCTAGAACCTTAGGAGGGATCAGGGCCTCCCACCACCACCTTGGGGATGGCCCTGAATCAGAGACCAGGTGTTTCATCTTGTAGAGCCCCTGCCTGGGTTTCTAAGCCTTGAGGGCTCAGCATGTCCCCTATTATGTAGGAGGGCCTCCATCAGAGCCTGCCTCTCTCCCACAGAGCCCCCCTGCCTGGCAGAGCTGGAGCGCATCCAGATCCAGGAAGCTGCCAAGAAGAAGCCAGGTGAGTGGCTGGGCTAGGCACACAGAAGAGGCAGGGAGGGTGCACTGAGTTCCTTGGAGACCCATAAGCTCCAGCCCCTGAGCAATATGAAAGACGCTGTCTAGAGGAAGGCCCAGCCTAGGAACACAGGAGGGGGAAGTGCCCTTCCTGTTTGATCCTCATGATGAGGCAGAGTCTTTCAAACTGCCTCTCGATGAGTATTTTTAAGCAATAATTTTATACATATCCATGCCAGGGCTGGAAGTTAGGATATGGAAGGACCCTAGAACCCTCCATTCAATCCATCTCTGTTTAAGTAAGACCCCTCCACAGAAGATACTCACCTACTCAACGAACACTTGAGTGCTGACCTGGAGAGACAGTGATGACAAACCCAGCCCTGGTCAGGACTGATGGGGAAGACAGACCTGGTCCTGGCCCCAGGAAGCCTTATTAGGCACAGGCTAGCTGGGGAAATGCACAACACATACCGACACGCAGAAAGACAGAACTCCCAACCACGACGACTTGTTCATGGTGCTGAGGGAGAGTACGAGCGGACATGTTAGCCTGAGGGGTTAGTGGAAGTCTTTCTGGGGAGCTGGCATTCAAGGGGAGACCTCAAAGAAGCTGGTCCCATAACACAGTGATTAAACTCTGTGTATAGGGCACCGGACCCCACATGCCAACCGCTGGTTCAAGTCCCAGCGCTGGTGGCTTGAAAAACATTGGTTGTGTGTGTGTGCCCCAAATCCAGACAGGATGGAAAAATGGAGAAAAAAGGATTGTAGCATGACCACATTCCACTGGGGGGGGGGCTTTCTCTTTCTCTCTCTCTGGCGAGAACATGTACTCTAATCATAATAAAATAGTAAAGGAAGAAAGAAGGAAGGAAGGAAGGGAGGAAGGAAGGAAGGAAGCAAGGAAGGAAGAAAAGAAAAGAAAAGAAAAGAAAAGAAAAGAAAAGAAAAGAAAAGAAAAGGTGTTGGGGGAGACCTGAGGGATGAGAACATGCCAGCCAAATGCAGAGACGAGAGCAGAGAAAAAACCTTGAGCTTCTGGGAAAACAAAAAGGATGCATGTGGCTAGAGTGTGATGGCTGAGGGGTCAAAGGTCTCAGAGTCAGACCACACAGAGCTTTGCAGCTCCTTGATGGCGATTCGACTTCTAACTAGGCACAGTGAGAAGAAACTGAGCACTGCAAGCACACGCCACCATGCCTTGGGCTAGTGGCCTTTGGGGGCTGGCCTGAGCCGTCTCTGCTGGCAAGCCATTTCTCATGCCTGTACTCCCAGGCATGCTCCCTGTGTCTTGGGGCACCTGCCCTGTGGCTTTTGGTATTGTAATTGTCTGGGTGTGACTCGTCCCCCTCTAAGTGGGCAGAGTCCACCACTGGGTCCCCAGAGAGGCAGTATCAGATGTCCATTGGGTGGACAGACGGGAACAGCTGGGAGACCTGAGGGAAAATGAGTGATCCCGGAGGCAGACCTGATTCCGAGCAGCCGAGAGGGACCAAGGCCTTCCTCAGCACCAGCTGGAGGACCAAGGGCAACCCAGACCTCAGCCCAGGGTCAAGGTAGTGGTGGAGCTGGACCGGAGCCAGCACAGGAGCTGGTTGTGTAGGGACGCGGGTTTCCTGCCCTCTCAGTAGTGCTGGAAGAGACCCTGGCATCCAGCCTTGGGTATCTGGACTTGTTGGGTGGTCAGCGTCAGGGCTGGCTCAGCTCCAGGGGTATCTACAATAGACTCCTGCTTATGCTCAAGGCTCTGAGTCCACTCTCTGAAGAGCCCAGGCCCCCACTCTGACCTGCCTGGTCCTGCCCCATCCAGGCATCTTCATCCCGAGCTGTGACGAAGATGGCTACTACCGAAAGATGCAGTGTGACCAAAGCAGTGGCGACTGCTGGTGCGTGGACCAGCTGGGCCTGGAGCTGACCGGCACCCGCATGCACGGGAGCCCCGATTGTGGTAAGGCCACATGAGGTGGGGTCCAGGCTGGGTGGGTGGGCAGGTGGCCAGCAGGTTCCTAACCCGTCCCTTGATTTGTTCCTCTTGCAGATGACATCGTGGGCTTTTCAGGGGACTTTGGGAGTGGTGTCGGCTGGGAGGATGAGGAGGAGAAGGAGACTGAGGAAGCGGGCGAGGAGGCTGAGGAGGAGGAGGGTGAGGCAGGCGAGGCGGACGATGGAGGCTACATCTGGTAGAAGGCCCTGGGGAGCCGTGGCAGGCCAGGGTGCCCACGGCTGGGGAAGATGGGCCAGCAGAGACCTGGACAGCAGCAGGTGAATGGATCCGGAAAATCAGTCAGAAGGACCCTGGTTCCAACGGAGAAGACTGGGAGCGTGTGCATAGCACGTGTGTGTCAAGTATGGCTGGGATGTTTGAGCGTGTGCGTGTGTGTGTGTGTGGCATGCGCTGACAAATGTGTCCTTGATCCACACTGCTCCTGGCAGGGTGATCACCCAAAGGCTCCTTCAGCCTCCTTGTAGTTATTTTCTTTCCAACTGTTACACACACATTTGCACAAATACACCAACAACCAACAGGTCAAAATTGATGGCTTGAGACGCCTCCCAGCCCTGCCCTGACAGCCTGGGGTTCCTACCCTGCCTCCTCCTGGCCCTGCCTGCCTTTTCTCCCTCTCCACTTTGGGATCAAGCTCCAGTTGGCTCTGGGATCCCCATCGCAGAGGGGAGGGAGGGCAGCAAGCTGACTACTGGCTGGGGAGCTCCCAGAGCTGGACCAATTTAAGTTAGCCCTGACACTCCCACCAGGCTCAGATGAGACAGACCGGGACACCCAGCACAGCAAACTCAGCCCACTGCTGAGTCCCCACACAGGAGAGAAGGTCTCCTAACCTAAGAGGAAAGGGAGGCTTACCTACCTGTCCAAGATCCCGGGGGTGGAAGGAGCTCCCTCAGCAGGCGGTCTGCAGTTGTAGGTCCTGGGTTGAGTTTTAGGAGTGAAGATGGACAGCCCTAATGAATACCAGACCCTGGATAGCCTGGCCTGGCCTCATGTGAGGCGGTGGTCCAGTTGGGGCTGCCCTCTTGGGGTGAGTGGGTGTGGTTCTGCCTGGCTTCTCCTTGGCCCAGCCCAGGAGTGCTATTTCTGCCTCTGTCCTCCTTGCTGGGGTGCCCTTGCCCGCTCCAGGGAGCTGAGGACCAGGAGCAACAGGCGAGGGGCCTGGAGCTTGGCCAGAGGTATGTGCCCACCTTCTTTCTGACCCCTTACCTAAATGCTGCCCTCCTGACGGACCAATAGAAAGACTTGTCCTGAGATCTGGCAGAAGAAGGAGATGCGGTTGTCTCCATCTTTCCTCCTTAACCGAGAGGCCTTTCCCAGTCCCACTCCTCTCAGTTTGGGGTTTCCCACTGCCCTGCTTAGTGTCATCTCAGGCTGCTGCAGCAGAGGGGTTCCCCAGGCCCCGACTGTGCCAGGGTCGTGAACAGCCAGGCAGCAGGGCAGGGTGGGGCAGCCAGGCTCTGAGGCCAGACCTTGCTGTTCCCCCAGTCTGACCAAGGGAGAGGATGCCCCACGGGGCTTTTGTCACTGAGGTTTTCCCTGATCTGTCCAGTTCTCCCTGTTGAAACAAATTCCTTAAACACCTTTTCTGAAGAACTTCCTACTGGAACTTGGGCCTCTTCGGTGCATGGCAAGTGTGTGTGTGCATGTGTGTGTGAGTGAGAGTTCATGTGTGTGTGTGCACGTGTGTGCATGCATGCATGTGTGAGCGTTCATGTGTGTGCATGCATGCGTGTGTGTGTGTGTGTGTGTGTGTGTGTGTGTGTGTGTGTGTGTGTGTGTGTGTGTGTGTGTGTGTGTGTGTGTGTGTGTGTGTGTGTGTGTGTGAACCTGGGGACCATCCTGGTGGCCTGGCAGTTTGATGAGGGCCTCCCGTCTGTGCTGGGTGAGCGGCTGTGAGGGTGGACAGTAGGGCCTATGATCAATGAGGTTTGGCTCCAGGCGAGGCTCCAGCCTGGTTCTCCATGGCTTCTCCCAGCATCCACTGAGCGCCTGTCGGACTTCACTTACCGAAGAGCCTCATCCTGTCCACCCTTCACTCCACAATCAACATCTTCAAACTCTCTCTGGGGGGAAAAACGAAACTCCACAGAGCCCACAAATTGCTTCTCATTCTGCAGCACAGTTCTGACCTTTGAGGTGTCGTGCTGTTCTAGACCACCGCCCCAGGCCTCTTCTTCCTCCGCTCCTCTGCTCAGTCTTCCCACCTCCTTACCCCAGCCCCCAGCCAGTTCAGGGAAATGCTGTCCCATGTCAGCCCTCTGCTCTCCCCTTCTGATTCAGAGCTACTTGAAACTTCCTGCTCTTGCTAGGATTGGAGTCTGTCTGTCTCTTTTCTCTGCTCTGGTGGAGGCCTCTGGAACTGCCCTCCTGGGGGCAGCTGTTATGGATGCTGGGGCACTATGGGAAGGGGAGATAGCACAGAGAAAGTGGTGGGTCCCTCCTCCTCTCACCCTTGCCCTCCTCTCCCAGGGCTGTGCTTTTTCTGTGTCTTGGGTCTTCTGGCTGTGCACATTTATCTGATCTTGTAAATATATTTTAGGACGAAAGCAAAAGGCGTTGACTCCTAGCCCCTGGCGGGACTACAGGAGTCTAGCCTTGCCCTCTCTCTGAAGCCCCACAGTGCTTTTCAGCCCAGGAGACTGAGTTCTCCCCAAAGGTAGACAGAAGCTGTTCCCTATGGGGCTGAAGGCCTCCAAGTGACTTCTTGTTAGACAAGCTGTTTCCTTGTGAGCAAGGCTGCAGGTTGGCCCCTTGGATTTGTGCCCTTGACCAAGCTGCCTGCCTCACCCCTCCCATGCCCATGGACATGGCTGTTGGAGCTCCTCCTGCCCCACTCCCCTGGCTTAGGCAGGCAGGGGAATTAGGGCTGTGCAGAAAAGAGCCTGACCAGATTTGAATGGTTTCTTGCCTGGCCCTTGGCTACATAGGCCTCCTTGGTGCTGGGAGAGATGGACGCCTGAGATGGGGTGGCTTTGGGTTGGAGAAAATAATGTGCCTTGAGAGACCACTCGGAGAGGGTCCAAGGGCGATGGGGACGGAGGCAGGGCCTGGGAGCTCAGGAAGGAGGTGAGCTGATGAGGGCAATGGGACACCGTGACTGCCCCCAGTGTCCTGCTGGGCTGTGAACTTGTGTGATAGGTGGTCACACTTCTTCACTCCACCTGCCTGGGTTTAGTGGCCACCCATCCAGCCTTTCATGAGCTCCATCTGCTTCCGACGTCACCTTGGAGTGGGTGGAGTCCTTTGGTATTGACGTGGGGACCCTTGTTTCACCAAAGCCTGAGACCTCAGCCCTTGGGGAGAATGACTGGTCCATCTTTGATATCTGGGGTCATCTCGAGGCCACAGGTTGGCGGAGGTCCCAGGAAGAGACAGTGGGAGTGCAAGAGGAGACTGAGACATCCCGAGGAAGTCCCAAGCAGAGCAAACTGCTTTATAGCCTGAAGCCTACTTAAACCGTGTGATGTGCAATAACTGAGCTTAGAGTTAAGAATTGTGTTCAAGTGCTTGGATTTCCGTCTGTAGATTTAAGTGCTGAAATCGTATCTCAGTAATTTTAGATGTCTTCAAAAAATCGAAAAACAAAGTGTTAGACTGTGTGTGTGCGTTGATGGGCACTCAAGTGTCCTGTGGCTCACTGCACCCTCTCCCTTCCCCCGATGCCCCGCCCACCTCTCCGTGGGACCCTCCCTGGGGGGCCCTCCACGTGGGACCCCCTCGTGTTGTCTTTATCTGCCTATTACTCAGCCTAAGGAAACAAGTACACTCCACACATGCATAAAGGAAATCAAATGTTATTTTTAAGAAAATGGAAAATAAAAACTTTATAAACACCACCTGCTGGCAGTACTCTAATTATTCTCCCCCATGGTGTCAGTTTTCACAAAAGCGCCATTCACAAATGAGATCCTAGAACTCTGACTTTCATGGTCAGTATGTTTCTGTTATTTCACTTCATACATGAGACCTCAGACAGAGCAGGGCTCGGGGAAGGGGCCTGGTTTATCCAGGAACAGCTTTAAGACATTTATTGTTGCAAATACGTACAGTCTGTGTGTCTATGCCAATAAACACATTTCTATCACATAGCAGGGATCAAAGTGTGTATTATGCTTCCTTCATTTAACAGATTTGAGCCTTCCCTTCATGTTATTAAAATTATCTAAAGGTAGGGGCCAGCAGGTGGCATAATGGTTAAGGTGCTAGACTCCCATGTGGTCGACCGCAGTTTGAATCCTGGACCAGTGGCTTAAAACTCACGCTAGGCGCGCATGCACGTGTGCCCAAGATCCCGAGACGAGGATGGAGGAGACGAGATTGAGGCATGACCATCCTCCCTGGGGCGGTGGGAATGAATTCTGGCTTTCTGTCTCTGGCTAGTGCACACACCCTCTAGCAAAAATGTGTTAAAAAAAAAAAGTTATGTGAAGGTACACAGTATATTCCACAATATGAATGTACTCTACGGAATGTAATCATGTCTCTATTTTGGGACTCTTGTGTTGTTTCCAATTTCTTGAACACTTAAACAGTGTTGTGGTGAGCTTGAGGCCTATCTTTGATTTCCTTCTCCTGGCTACATTGCCAGAAGTGACAGATGTGATTTGTTTGGCTTTTTTGTTATGGTAAATTACAAATATTAAAAAAGCTACCATTCCCAAGTACAGTTTACTGGCCTCTAGTCCATTCATAATGTGTCACCATCCCCACAGTCTGTTTCCAGAACATTGCCACCCGGGTGTGAGCTTTTCAGACTTTAACTACATCTTACTGAATTGCTTTTCAGGAAGGTTAAGACAACCCGTCAGAGTGTGCAAGTGTCAGGCTCCCAGCATACTTGCCAGCTTCTGAATTCTGATTTTTAAAAAGCCTGGTTAGTTTGGTTCTTCGATTATCTGAGTTGAGGGATGTTGTCATTCTTTGCTGGACTTTCTGCTTGTAGGCTTTGCCCATCCCCTCACTAGACAGACCTGACTTTCTGTTAACGAATCCTTTTGCAGGGACGAGTGGTATGAAAGCCGGGCACGGGCACTCTAAACTCCAGCCCTAGTTAGAATTTGCAGCTGTGACCTTGGGACATCATCTGACAAATGGAGAGAGCGACCATCTCACAAGGATTACTTATTAGCACCGGTAAAAGGGCTGGGGGGGGGCAACCCACACACGTATGCCCCCACAGCCAGGCCCCAGCCGGGGCAGTCTCCGCCTATCTGATTTGAGCAAGAGAGCCTTGGGAAGGGGTGCCATCCTTCCAGGTGAGAGGCTGTGGGTGGTTCTCACTGCAACCCACAAAGTCAGACTGGGAGGCATAGGCGTCTTCCTGGAAGTATGAGGAGGGCTGGGATTTGCTGAGGAGCCCTCTCAGCAGGCAGGGTGAGGGAGGAAGTGGCTGGAGATGGGAATGGGGATCCTGGAAACAGGTTGCCTCCAGGGTTGTGGAACCTGCGGTTGTGGAAATAGAGGAGCCACGGGTTGGCAGTGGGCATGGGGTTGCATCAGTGAGCCAGACAACTCACATATCATGAGCTTACGTGGGCTAGGCACACAAAACTACTGCCCTCTGGAAAAAAGATTAGCAGTAGAACACTGTGTGCAAGACCCCGAGCCAAGGGAGCACCTCGAGGTGGATGCTTTATTAAATCCCATTTTGCTGGTGGAAATAGAATCTCAGAGGGGTATAGTAGCTTGACCAAGAATGCACAGCTTGTGAAGTGGCATTCTGCTTCCCACCGACCACTCAGCGCAAAACAGGTTGCAGAGCAGGTTGTGGGCAGCGCTCAGCAGCTCTGCTCCTGCTGTTGGGCCACAGGCACTCAGAGGGAGGGTCATCTGCTGGGGTTAAGTCCAGGAAGGCTTCCTGGGGGAAGGGATTTCAGGCTAGGCCGATGGATGGGTAGGAATGATCTAATGGCTCGACCCTGGCTGCACATCAGAAGCATGTGGGCCCCCAGGCCTCACCTGCAGCAATTCTGATTTTGTTCTGGGTTAGGCCGGGGCCTGGTATGTTCTGAAAGGTCTCCGAGTGCTGCTTAGGTGCAGCCAGGTGCGTGTTGCCCAGGCTCAGTGAATAGGAGTAGGAATGTCCCACGCATGGGGATAGGACATGCACAAGGCTAGGGCAGGAACAAGCCTGTGAGGAGGCAGGCATGATGTGAGGCTTGGAGGCCAGGTCAAGGGCAGGAATGCTGGAGACATTTTCATTCAACATTCTGTCAATCACTGACTCAGGCCTTGGAGAAGAGCCTGCAGCCTGCTGAGGGCAGAGTCCACCCCAACCCTCTGAATGAGCGCCCTCACCCCGCAGCTCTTGCACGTGATGGATTGTGTTTGCCCAGGTGAGGGGGAGGTAGAGGCCAGGCAAGGCCCTGGCTCTTGGAACAATATAATTGTCACCAGATCCAAGCAACCTGAATTCCCAGGGCCCCTGGGGCCAGTGGCAAACAGAGCATTGCCAGGGACAGGCCCAGGTGTCAAGAGGGAGAGGCGCAAACAGGCTGAGGCCATTCAGGAAGCCAGCTGCCTGACACCCACTGCCCACCACTCCTCCCTCCACTGGCCCTTCCCCAGCCAGCACTCCCAGCTCCTCCCTCACTGCCCGCCCTCTCCCCCTCCCCGCCATTCTAGCACCTTGTCCTTCCTCAGCATTTAGCCTCCTGGGAACAGGGACTGTGTACTGACTTCTCCCAGGTGACTATCTGGGCCCGAGAACACACCTGAAAGAAAACGCACAAACT